ATATTTGATATACATATTTTAATATATAATACATGTACATACTCGTATACCAAAGAAAATCATCCCTTTTTTGACATTGTCATCCAATTCATTGTATTATTGTTGATTGTAGAGCTAGCCACCGGAATGACAGTTACAAGACACATAAGAAACTGTTAAATATTTAATTCTAAATATGCTAAGGGTAATTTGTTATACTTTATACGTAACATTCGTAAAACGCAATTTGTTTAGGTTTGAATTGGGGATGATCTATGAAATTTTAGTTTGAATTTCAAATTTTGTAATGCATTTGCCGGAAAGAGTGTTCTTCTTGGTCTATCATTTTATTGTAATTACGTTATTGTAAATTATTTTCAGGTCTTGCAAGAACTTGTTAGACTAACTCGAAATCAACGTTCTTGGATGATAATATTTTAATATTTATATTCAACTAATAAGCATTTCTCAAATCATATTGAAAAATTAACACCATCTTCCACTTTTGATTTACCAGGTACCTTATCATTTATTTTGCAATGAATTTCACAAAGTCACGGTTCTAAATTTATTCAGACAGAACAGTACGTTTCTCGAACCAATTTAAATATTCCGTTGACGCCTTAAATAAATAATATCAAAAATCTTAAAAATTTTTAAAATCTGTGGAACAATATACAAGCAAATAAAAAGTAAAATATGTTCGAAGAACCTTCTTCTTACTTTTAAAAACCAACAACTTAATTTCTGAAGTATTATCCAAATGAATTCCTTACACTCCTTAAGGTTTTTAATGATCATCAGAAAAGTGCCATGTTATGTCTGTACATATAGTTTTCTATTTTCTTATTACAGAGAAGTAGAAATGAAAAAAAAAAACATTCTAGCACCCCTTTTTTTGTGTTATTAATATGCAAGTGAATCGCGTGTACATTTTTACATACAAAAACTCACCCCCGAAGTCATTTTTTAATTTTATATATTTAAATACTAAAGAAAAATTATCGTTATAGCGACTAAACATAACAAACCAAAAATATTTTTAACGACAAAACCAAAAACCATTGAATTTTTTTTTTGGTTAAGAAAAAAAAAATTTTTATACGAAACCGAAATGAAAATGTTCTTTAGACAAGAACATAAATTTTGTGTGCATAATATTGAAAAACGTGTGAGGGCACAAGGGTTGCAAATAATATTCAAATCTGTATTTAAAATGAATAATTTTTTTTTATAATACTTTTTTTATTAATTATTTAAAAGTATTGCCAGATGTAAAACGAATAAATTAACAGTCCAAACAAAATTTTGAGGCAAGGAACAAGTCCAATGAGAAAATGTGACTTAGTTGAGTTTAAATATTTATTGATGGGTTGATTTTTATCCACTCGAAGTAACATTTATCATGTGAATCCTGACTTTATGATCTACAATTTGTAAACTAGAGAAGATTGCAGATTGTAAATTGTATATTAGCGGTAGCAGTGCTGGTATCCGTTTGAAACTCACCTTTTTAATAAACTTCAGTAATTTATGAGGGTCGGAAGTCGGCAATTAAGCCGTCATGAGCGCATAATTCCCGGTACTTTCATTCTCCTGCGAATTAGAGTGCCACACTTATTCAAAGGTATAATGAGATGTCTACACTCTCTGGGTCTGCAAAACCCTGGTAGAACGGCGATGAAAATTTTCTCCTAATTATTGCCCAACCTGTTATCTTCTTCAGATTCTGCTAGCCATAATCTCCCAGAACAGACTTTGTCAGTGACAGGAGGACTTCGTCAGTGTTTCGACCGCTTTTTCTATTATTTCTTATGTCGTTCGATTTGGCAGAAAAGCTCCCGACCGAAAAATAACCTGTCAACCCCCTTCTTCATCAATGCATCAGGTACGTTATTTTCTTCCACACCCCCATGGTGCGACAGTCAGTAAGTTATTGAAAAGATTACTGGATCATTTATTATAGAATAATGCCTACAAATTATTCGTTAATGTAAAATTTAAGAGTTAGAAGTCTGGCAACTCTCATTTTAATAAAAAGTAAATCTTATACAAGTACAATTTAATATAAGTACATTACTCCTTCGGTCATATAACTTTTTATAAAATAATTAAAAATTAGTTAAATATATTGTAAAATATTAAAAACACTTTAAAAATCTTTAGAGCGTCTTAACATTGCAAATTATTATAACACTCTTATTACTATGGCATATGATTATTGTTAAATTTTAACATATTATAAAAAAAAAACACATTTGGATTTATATATTTATATGTATATATACACGAGTATATATAAATTACAATATGTACGACATTATATGGAATTACTCACTTTGACTCTTAATAATTTAAGAGGATTTTCATATACTTTAATAAGCGTATAGTGAAAAAAGGGGTTTTATATTTTATTCTGGAATCATTGTATGTTACGGGTTTTCATACATTCTTATGTAGACGTAGCGGTCCTTAAATATTCATGCGTTTGACCAATTTTTAATTTTTATTTTGCATTTTGTTTTTGAGTGAAGTTAGAGATAGTTCTATTGAGTTTTTTTAATACTCTCATTTGCGGAAGTTTATGTTATATTACAAAAAAAAAAGAAAACATAGAGGCACTCACTTTAAGACTTCGAAGCGTACTCTAAAAATTAGTCTAATACTTATTTGCTACTTAAACTTACTAGAGAGTTTTTTTTTAACATTAAGTACATACAACATCAATTAAGCCAAATGTATGAAAGAAAAAACGTTGTAATAAAATGAATTTTTTATTTGAAATAGAAAGAGAAAAAAAATTTAATATATAGTGTGATAAAAGAAACATAAGTTTTCCTGAGTTTATGTGTGTGCATACGCATACATCTTATGTGTTTCAGTAGATTTTGCCAGTAAATATGCACGTGACATGGATATCCTTTTTATTGAGATTCCTGTAATTTTTTTTTTCATGTTGCGTATAATTAATTAATGAAGTTGTTGTTTTTCTTTTGAAAAATCAAAATAATGAATTTTTAATATGAATTTAGAACATTTAATAAGGGTTGCAAAAAAACTAAGAATAAAAAATGTAAAAGTAAGAATAGAAAATGTAAAGTAGCTTGAGACGCGCGACTAATTAATAGAAAACAAGTGGTGACTTGTTGTAATTGTGATTTTATTATAGAGAAACAAAAGGGTAATGAACAGAGAATATAAAATTTATGTTGCTCATTTATTAATATATTTGTTGACTTTCCATATTTGAGGCCGATTGGCGAAACTTAAATTTATTTGTGGAAAATTTTGCAATCAACTTGGTATTTCTTGAATTAATTTGGTTATCTTTTTAATATTTTAAAAAATTTCTATTAAAAAATTTTTTTTTTCCATTTTTTCATTTTACGCCATTCTATTCAATTGAATAACAATAATACAAAATCAATGTGTTGCAATATGACGTTATCTATGTACGTATTGCATTGTATAGAAGGTTTAAAAATTTAAAAGGCAAAATAGAAAAATTTCATTGAGCAACGAATAAATCAAGAAAATTACAAACCAAAAAAAAATGGAGAAAAAATAATGAAATTTAAGTACATTAAAAGTTTAAATCAATTAATTTGTAGGTGTTGTAGGTACATGGTATCACGATTGACTTGCAGACATGATTTTTAAATACACAATGATTTTTTAATATTTGATAGAGAAGGTTTTATATACTTATATTGAATTTTTGTTGAGTAATTAATCCCCGAGGGACTTGGTGATTTTTTCTTATTTTTTCTTAAATATTATTTTTTAAATTGTAAAATTACAAAAGTTTTATATAAAAAAAATTAATTTGGTATTGTAGAAAAGTATTTTAACAGTTAAATGTAAAGTTGAAATTATTTGAACTTCACTACATTGACGATTGGTTGGTTGGTTGGTACGTTGGTTACACGTACTTTTAAGATAATTATAGTACTTTTTTTTCTTCATTTTTTAATACAAAATATTCTTGTTTATTTAAGAAAAGATGAAATCTTCCTATAATGCGATTTAATAGGTGAGGCTAGGAGTATAAGATATCAAAAATTTTCTTAATCTTATGGGTATGCTTTGATATTATTATAGAATTTTCTAATTAAATTGTATTTTAGTTATAAGTTTTTTCGGATATTTTGATCAGAAAATCAGCAATTTCGAATTGCTAAACGACGAACTGAAAGTTTTGTATACCAAACTAAACCAAGTAAAGTGATCCGGCAGTAGAGTGAAGTAAATACGATAATATAGAGTTAGCTGTGTCCAATCTCCGTGGAACGGGGATATAACGGAGATTTTTAGGATTATATACAAACAAATTTGACAAACTATGACTCAATTCACAAATACCCACTTACTGTTAAATTTCCCGTTATATCTCAATATACATAATGTATATCATAAAATCAAATATTTTGAAAAGGTTGTAATTTTAATATTGTATTTACAACTATTCTTAAAATTTTTTGTTTAAATTAAAAAAAAAATAAAAAAAATATAAAAAAACTTAATGATTTTCAACTGTCAACTTTTCTGTCACATTAAGAATGAATATATTTTATTATTTTTTCGTTTTACGCATATAAATAAAACAATAATTTAACAAAAATATGTCACCAAAAAAAAAAAAAAAATAATAAATTGAATAATTTATTAAATTTTTACATGAAAAAAATTTTAATTAATTCCATCATGTGCAACTTTTGATATCAAAATACAAAAAAAATTGTCCAAAAATCTTTCAAACATTTAGACAACAATAATTTTTAGTTTATATGTATAAAATTATAACTATACGCTATGTATACACACATGCATACACTTAAATAAATTATTATCAGACTCAAATTTAAAATTTAGTTAATCAAACAAAAATTAACTTGATCTGTCACATGAAATGTCAAAATTTTTAAGCTAATTTGTAAATAACAATAATATACAATATATAGAATTTGAAAGAGAAAGAGAAAATGACAAATGAAAAAAGAAAAAAAAATTTATTAACTCACGGTTTGGTCAATCGGCTTCCAATAGTCATCACTTTGTTTCTTTTGCTGTCGTCTTACTTTTCTTATTTGTTAAGTTTAACAAAAAAAATCACAGTTTTTTTATTATTCTTTTTTTTTTAATTTAAGATGTACCGTGTTATAACTGTTATTAATATAAATTGTTGTTTTTTTTTTCTCTCTTTTTTAGTTAATTTTAGTAATTTATTAATTTTCTGTTTTCTTTTCACAATTTTTTTTTTCTTAATATTTTTCAATATTTTTTTTTTTTGATATCTTAATAAATTATTTTACATTTGAATTAAAATAAAAATATTGTATAAAATACAAATTTTGACTTTTTTGGAATTTGAATATTTTGGTTTTCTTGTTGCTTTTGTATTAAAAAAAATTTTTGTTCAAAACTTTTGTGCAACAATCAACAAAAATCACAATTTTTCTTTTATTGTTAGCTAGGCTTTTGTTTTGTTAGAAAATGGTATTTTTTTCTCTCTGCAAAATATGTCAAATTATATTTAAATAATTTATGTTAAATATAAAGAAAATAAAAGATTTTTTTTTTAATTTAATTTACTATTTACTTTAATTTTTTTTTCAAATTTTATTCTAATAAATTATAAATTTTTTATTCTGTTTGTTAAATTCGAAATCAGTTATAGGAGATATTTTATGAGCATTATTGAAAATATCGGTGGCAAATAAAAAAAAAATTGATTATTTAGGATAACCCATTTTAAAAAATCAAATTAATAAATAATTTTAAAAATTTTTTTACAATCAATTTGATATTTTTGTAGAGACGTGAGTTTTAGAGCAAATAAAATTTAAGATTTTATTGAATTATTTTTCATGTAGGAGAAAAGAGTTTAATACAGTTAATTGAAGTATTGTTATCATCGTTTAGTATTGCTTCGTAAAAGAAATGACGCCACTTTTAAATAACACTCTGAGTTTAAATTTTATTAATGCCTTTTTCTCTGAGTTTAAATTTTATTAATGCCTGTACATAATATGTAAGCTTTTATTTGCTACCCCGCTTCAATTATATAGTGTTGTTCTTCCTAATATTCATCAATTCAATATTCCTGCAAAGCTTATACATTTGGTAAAGTGCACCATGGCCAAAGTAAGGAATAGAATCAAGATACAAAATGACAAATATCTCAAGAATTAGAAACAGTAAATGGCTTAAGGGAAGGGGATAGTCTATCTTGCATATTCTTTAATCTCGCCTTGGAAAAAATTATACGAGATTCAAAAAACATGTAAAAGGGGCAATTCCTTATAAATGGACACAGGTCCTAGCATACGCTGATGATGTTGACATAGTACGAGTAACAAAATCTACTGCAGAGTTAAAATGTAACTTCATTAACATCGTAAGGGCGTCTAAAGATATAGGTTCAATTATTAATGAAAGCAAAACGAAAATTTTGGTATTAACATGCAGAGAAGGTGGAGTTCGTGGTCTAGGTCAGAACCTTAAATTTGGGGAATATCATTTCGAAATTGTCAAAAATTTTAAATATATAGGCAAATAGGTGGTACTATGGTCTACGGAAACTCTTGAAAAGCAATATTATCGATTGAAAAACAAAAATACAGATCTATCGAATATCAGTGCTTACGTATGTCAGGGCACTTATAATACCAGTGCTGACATACGCCAGTGAGACATAGACACTGAGTAAAGCGGATGAAATCAAACTTGGAGTTTTTGAAAGAAAGATTCTCAGAAAAATTTTTGGAGCAGTGTATGAGAACGGTATATGGAGAATACGGTACACTAAAGAACCGTACGACATGTATAACCATAGCGACATAATCGATTAAAGTAATAAAGATCGGTAAATTACGAGTTTGAAAGATAATGACGAGTTTTTGAAAGATAATGAAAAATTGTCTGCTAAGTCGATAACGAACGATGAATAATCATTGTGTAATAATAGCTAGTTATTCCTTGGTGAAATATTTTAGGAATGAAGCGGATTAGAGCATAGTAGTGAAAGAAACTCATGCTTAAGAGGGGTTTCTAGATGTTCAGTATTCAATTTTCGATTTCTCAAAATTATTTGTATTGAAATAGTCGGGATATCAAAGATGCAAATCTCATGCAAGTGTTTTAAATAAGACACTGGATGCTGGCAGACATTCGAAGTGATCTACCAAATAGTACCGTCCCAACAAACGCAATTATATAATTTTAATACTGTCATAATAAAATAAAGGCGGCCACATAAGCTATTATTGTTATCGTCTTATTATTTATTTTTTTGAAGGCTGCTGTCAATAAAACGAGAATTAAGTAAAACTTCTTATCCAACTAAATTATTTTGACTTCTACGCTTTGTGTTAGGTTCACTTAAATTTATTGTCTTATGCACGAGTAAAAATTCTTTTATGTACACACACAATGTCTCAACATTTATTTTATATTTTCATCGGAACGTTCAATATTTGGTTGGATAGGCAACAAAAATAATGGTTATCCGGTTCCGTAAAACCAAAATTTGTAGGCTACCCCTAAACTCGCAAGTTTAAACATCAAGTTTTCGATTCATATTCTATTTTTTTTCATTGATATTATTAATAATTTTTTTTTTGTTCAATAATCTAAATGTTTACTTTTCGGTGACTAAAGTGACCTCTTAACAATGGCAGATTCATTATACAAGTTGTCTTAATGGGTGTGCTTAGTGTTGTGCGTTTTGATTTTTTTTTTGTTTCACTAAATACAAAAATAATATTTTATTCTCACTGATTACTTTTTTTCTTTCTTATTTTCCTGATTTTAAACTTGTTAATCTGTAAATTTATTGTTTCGTTATGAATTTTCAACATTAACGTTTTCTTTTCTTGCTCAAAATTTTATTAGTTTTTAAATCGAATATATTAAAAAGTCGTAAAATTCGGGAGTTATTTTTAAACAAAAAAAAATATAAAACTCGCCTCTTTAGATATTTTAAATAAAAGCTAATTAAAAATTTATTTATTTTTATTTTTTTCTTTTCAAAAAAAAATTATTTAAAATTTCAATGGGCGCGAATAATGAAAAAATAAACAAGATTATCTTTTCTTAGAAATTACACTTTATACGTTTTTAAAGCGCGTTATTTTAATTTAGTGATTGTTTAAAATAATCAAAAATAAGCATTTAGTAACGCTAATTTACATTTATATTAGTTAAAATTTTTTTTTTTGAATAAATTGAATAAAGTTTAAGAGCTTTAATAGCCGTGTTAAGTTTTTATCAAAATATTAATCAATAGCCAATATGAAAATTAATGAATGTTGTTGCAACAAATAATTTGAATTTCTTATGAGGAGTAAAGTAAATTTTTAATAGGTACGACTTTTGGGCGGATTCGTAAAAATTTTTTGCGATAGTTTGCTTAATAGAAGTATTCTTTGATTTTGTTACTAATAATTTCGCGTAAAATTAGAGTAAATAAGTAGACAAATATGTACATAATGTGTACGGATCTTCATATTCCCACTCTCACTTGAACCAGTCCCAGATCTTTATAAACCGGTTCAAATCCTGCGCCACTTCCTGCAAAGATAGTTGACAGGGCTTTTTATCCTCTTGGCGTGTTCGTTAATCAGACAGTGTCCATTCTATTCAGTTTTCCTGTTATTAATTTTTCATTTTAAGAAGCATAAATTATTTAATGACAAGCAAAGTTTTTAGTTTTTACAGCAACACTGTTTTTGTTTTGATCGTAACCTAAATTTGATCATATATTATAGGTTTTCTTTCAAACGCTCTCATTCTTTTAAAGCTACACATTGTAAGTTTATGTTTTTTTTTCAAACAGGTATCACATGATTGTGTATAATATAATATTCATACATTCGAAATAATTATCAATAACATCCACACCGTATACAATAATAAACCCTATCGTTATTAAGTCAATACCTCTAAATTTGTTGAGAAAATAAATTTTAAGCAGAGCAGGTAAATATTTCACAAACATTTTAGAATTCCGACGGGAAAATGTATTTTCATTTTGCGCAATTTCGAGTTATATTGAAAATATTAAAGTTTTTTAACGCTCTTGTGATTTAGTATTGTCAATGCGAGCAATTTGAACATTGCATTCCACCAAAAAACACATTAAAAATAGTCTGAAATTTATTAGGAATTGATTCGCACACTAGATTCAATTTCATTCAATTTCGATTTGATAGAATTTTAGATTCCCTGTGAGTTCAAAAAATTTCGAAATCTTTGTATGAAACGTTAATAGCTACATTTTCTGAACATTCCGCTCGTAGTTGAATATAAAAGAAATTTTTTTGATTTTCTATTTTCATTTTTTTAAAGAAATTGATTTTGAGAATTAAAACCAAGCTCTTTTGATGTAATCGTCTATGATTAATCATATTATACAGTAATAGTCTATAATTAATTAAATTATACAGGTTGTAATCATATACTGTAGCAAAAGTAAAGTTTGATGAAAATTGCATTCATAGTTTCAAAACATAATTAATTTAAAGAACATGTAGTATAACATGCAGGCCTCAACTAATGTGTGCTCACACTTAAGAAAAATGTGAAAAATTTTTATTTGTACGTCAACATAAAACTAAAATTTGTGCAAGAAACTTCGATTTGAAAATAGTGTGATCTCCTCGTAACAGTATTAGTAACATCAAAAATTCGTGTAATTTACGTTTAAATCTGCTTGATCAGGCATTTTTATGGATATTTTAAACTCTTTATGTCAAAATGGCGTTAAAATATATGTAGGTACATCACACAACAGTGTTTGATTTAAATTTGAAAAAAAAATAACGAATTCACTCATAAACCAGTGTTATTAGCCAGAAAAATAGTGTGGTCGCATATTATTTTTCACAGTTTTTAATAAAAGTCAATTTAAAATAACATTCAAAGTAATACACGCAATGAATGCCACAATTTTATCATCTCATAGCAGGAAATGAAAAAAATTAGTCAACATATTTGTCAACTGTAGAATACGAAAAAAGGAATTGGGGTCACCGTCGAATAAATGATAAGTTAACTGGAAATTAAGCAGACTTGCAAATATTATTGTTTTTATTAGGCATGTGTCTATAAAAACAGAAGTCAATAATTCTTATTGTATATGCATTTAAAAATTTTTTTGACAAAATACCTACTTTTATTGAATAAAATGTTTTTTCTGTGCATAAAAGCTTCACATTTCCATTAAAATTTTAAAAACTCAAGTGTTATTAACTATTTTAATTTTTAAATTCACGCACTTGTATTTCTTTGTTGAGTGTTATCTTGAGCTTTTTCACTTTTCTTAATTATTTTTTAATTAGTGGTTTAGTTTTAAAAGTATATTTTATTTAATTTCAAATTAATTTTATAATTATATTTAATATTAATAATATGTACAATGCTTAGTAATTAGAGTATTTTGCTTTCTCTATTCTTTTATAATTTTAA